CATCACGACACTCTATCGCGGACTAGTGAATACTACGGCTCCCGTAGTATCACATCACTTTCTCGTTGATTGGTGAATACTAAGGTTCCCCGCAGTTCCACGATACCCTCTCCTACTGACTCATGGATTCTACGGCTCCCCGTAGTCTTACAATACTCTCTCACTCACTGACTCGCCATGGGCTCTCTCTATTGTTTTCCCTGATAATCCTAAGTGATTACTCCCACTCGGATCCAGTCACTCTCTTATCACCCCATAATTTGATCATCAAGGCATCACTACACTGAGTTTACTAACTCATGCTTCGTAGTCCAATATAGATAGGTGCACACACCCACCCAGCTTATGCACCACCACTCTTGATGTAAATTCTCGTAGGCAAGGCACTTTTCTCAGCACATATACACCCTTAGACATTCCCACTCCAGCGACAATTTACCAATGGGTTCCCACTGGACCAAAATTCACTTGGTACTGCATTTTCCATCTCACAACTCGAGTCTCAACATGACCAAAAATTAGGACATCATACTTGAGTACCTCGGTACACCATCACAACATCCCACGGTGTCTTGCCTCAACCACTGATCTTTTACTCACACAACTCGTCACCTCGAAATATTCCATTCTCACAAATTGAAACACTGAGGAATCGTCAATGACTGAAAGCATGTTGACAAAAATCTGAAGCTCCATCCTCTACTGATCACAACCCATACGAAACTACTCATACCGAATCTGAAATTGGTTGACAAATCAACTGCTTCCCCTCCTAGAGTATAGATCATAATCTATACTTAAACCCACAAATCTAAGTTATTGCACCCTGACCTTAGTGACACAACGACCTAAAACTCCACATTTGCAAACCTAAAAAATCCCTAGCCATAATAAATTCTCTGACCAACAGCCTCCTATCGTGAATTCACTCATCCCTTCTTAAGCACATACACATATATCATCTCGCTTTGTATCTGACCTTTCCACCCATAACCCAGGTCACATAAGTCCGTGTCGTAGATCTTCATAACCCGTCCTCTAACCACACTTGCACAGTTTGGGTGATCCTCTCAACAGAATAAGCCAGATCTCCTCCACTTAGTGTTCGAACCATCGCCAATTGGCATACCAATAGAATACACCACAGACTGTTTCACCAGGTACAACTCACTTACTCTTGAAATGTACCACATAACACACGATGATCTTCCACTAAAGACCATGCAACTCCAAATACCCCAAATCTCATATGAAATCCCTGGAAACTTTCCAACGTGACTACCCTAGTCACCAAAACACCATACCGACACACTACTGCACATCTCAACTGTTCCAAAGTAGATGTGACCTTCTGTCTAACAGTAATGCACCATCACACATCTCATCCATGATCCCTCAATCAACATTCCATCGCATGGATCATCAAAGAAGCAAGAGATCTCACTCTCATAGTCGATTTTCGGTGTAAACCACGAGGTACACCACCCCGATATATTCCTTACTGCATTCAATGAAGGTATACCCTTGTCCACATCCATCTCAGTCCCTCTTTTTGACTCTCTCATTGTATAAGAAATACCTTGCATTAGACATACCACCCAAATACTTTGGTGAAAAGGTCACAACCACATGTTACCCCATGGGGTTTACCTCCAACCCTGAAACCAGAAACTCGTTATTTCTTTTGCTCCACACAAGAAACACAGGTAACGCAATTCTCGTCACAGAAAGTGATATCTTCACTATCGACCGATTGCTCTTCTCAGATCGAAGTCCTCCACGAAACACCGTCTCTACTCATCCCTGAGTCTTGTGACTCCAACTGGCATTTCACCAATAAAATCTCTCAAGACCTAACTCAATATCTCTCTCAAGTTACGCTCTATTGAAGCTCATCCGACATGGCCCTCTGGCCCTACACTTTATCACATCAGTTCTCGGTTCGAAAAACCACAACGAGACAACTAGAAAAGATAGATGCATTAACGACTACTAATCATGGTACTCAACCATGTTATCTCTTCTCAATATAATTCATGGTACTCGAACCAAGTTATCTCCTCTCAGTCTGCTACTATTCATGGAAGTCAAACCATGTTATCTCCTCTTAATCTGCTACCTAGAACCTCTAAAATTGTCCCTGTTTCGAGTATGGGTCTTCTTTCAGTAGGACAGGCCCATAATGCCTTCCACATCTACCCATACTTTCCACACAGATCGTCCCAGATTTCCTAAGTAGTTGCCCAACCTCCTCGATCATCAATCTTATTACACATGCTCTCTCTCTAGTGATTACTCTCCCTTATCAGCTTACTTATCTGACTAAGGTCACTCCCTAAGCTCTTCCTAGGCTCTAACACGTTCTCTACCATCAGCTGCTAAAAAACCCTCATGATGTCAGTCACCAACCTCCCAAATACCGTCTTATTCGCTTAGTAGCTGAATCCCATCATTCAAGAGTTCCACAAAGCACAAAGCAAGAAGCATTCAGGCATCGAATAGCTCCCACCAGCACATATCACCACTCTAGCATACAAACCCACTTGCTCTATCCATAGCTCAAAAGGTATCATCGACCTCAGGCAATCCACCCTTGTGGTATGTAGCTACTCTCTTAGAAGACTCCTCAAATGTTCATCTAGGTATCTCTCCTAGGTTACTCAGCTACTCAAATCTCCTTCTAAAATATTCTTGCTAGCTGCTCTTACTCAAAACATACTCAAGGCAAATAATAGATAACATCGGGAAATGGCATCCCTAGGCTAAGGAATCACAAATCAGGAAACTCTGGCCCTAAAATATGAAATACCTAGCCTATCCTCTAGCATGCATCCCTAATATCTCATAAATATCTAACAAAGTAAACAATTAAGGGTATTTTGGGAAATCACCATTCAGGCTCTGGCTGATTGTACACACTGATCCTTCTCGTTCTTTTCCTTTGAAAAAAATTCTCAAATCCTCAGTTTGAGTCCATACATGCCCGAAGGTGCATCCGAATCCTTCAAACCAAGGCTCTGATACCAACTTGTAACACTATAAATTTTAAAATAATTTTTTTTCATTTTAAAATCACATAATTCTCATAACATATTTCACAAAAATCCCAAGTATCTAATTATCAAAACACAACTCCATAAATGATTGATTAAAAACCAGGATCCTCAAAACATAACTATTTCTCCCGTGTGTACAATCAAGCAGGCGCGTTCCCACGATCCTAAAAAGTACCTGAAACACATATCACACAACACGGTAAGCACGAAGCTTAGTGAGTTCCCAAAAATACCACATACACAAATAATAAGCCTCTCATGGCTATAACTCAGCATGGACCCTTCGGTCTCATGTGTCTTGGTGTGGACCCTCCAGTCACGTGTTTCAGTGAGGACCCTCTAGTCTCGTAGCTCGGTTTGGACCCTCCGGTCGCGTGTCTCAGTGGAAACCCTCCGGTCCCACAACTCGGTTTGGACCCTCCGGTCCGATCTCAGTAAAACACAGAATACAACATATATATCACACAAACAAAATACATAATATCACTTTACTCAATTAAGCAGAAAAGACCCATCGGTTGCATATAGATACCACTCATGGTAGGTATAGTGAGAAGATTCACCTCGAAGCAAGCAAGCAAATACACCTCGTACACTAAATACCGATTTAGCCTCTACCTAACACATATGATGATTATCTCTAATTAAAATCACAACTCTAAATAAACTCATACAATCCCCTCTTCAACTCTTAGGAAGCATAAAAGACCATTCTTCGCTTTCATGGTCTCCATTACTCACATTTGGTCAAAACCCTAAAAGTCAATAGAAGTCAACTCGAGTCAGCAGTCCATGTCGACCCAACTCGTTGAGTTCATCAAAGCAAGTCGTCGAGTACCCTCGTTTCGTCAGAAGCCTCATGAAGACCAACTCAACTCGTCGAGTTGACCCATCAACTTGCCAAGTTACAGCATCCTCAGACTTGTCGAGATAAACCCTAACGACTCGTCGAGTCGCTTAAATCAAATTCTTATTCAAACAATTTAAGGCAGAGAATGCTACTCCATACTCTGGATCTAACCTCCTAAAGCTCGAATATCACGTAAAGCTTGCAGCTTTATGTTTATGCATGGCATATTAGGTCAATAATGCCTTTACAAGATCTAACAAGGGTTTGGCGCTCAAAAGCTTGCCTCTAGCTCCATAGAGCTTGCGTTTTTGGGCTCACAAGACCTCCTACAGTCCAGATCTGAGGTTTCAACCTCAAGATATGTTCAAGGGACTCAATAATACAAGGTGGATAGGAGAAAACCCTAAAAAGTTCCCCAAACCAAGATCTACACAAAGAATGATCAAGTTAACATCTGTTACCTCCAATAGAAGCTAACCGCTGAAGAATCTTTTGATCCAAACATCCCTCCCTGGACCAAGCCAAGATGCTTACCAAATCTTCTTCCAAAGTTTCATAAGAACACCTAAAATAGTCTTTCTCTCTCTCACAATGGATGGAACTGATCTAGGGTTTCTCAAAGGGCTCTCTGGAGATAACGAAGGTGAAAATGAGGGCTTAAGGCCCTTTAAATGGGACACAAACCCAGAAAATTGGGGTTTCTCCAAACAACTCCAACTCGTCGAGTTGGTTACTAAACACACTCGGCCAAAATGACTCCACTCGCCAAGTTGGGCATCCAACTCGTCGAGTTGCTCTGCTAAGGAACATGAATTTCTCAAATATGATACCTGGAAATTTCAAGATGTTACACCCTAGCTAAGCGACGAGGCATTCACCAACTGATCTCTGAGCTGGATACTCCGAAGAAGAACTAGAAAAGGCGATGGGTTTTGGTTGAACAAAACCTTGTGGGGCATGGGTGTCGTAGGAATCTAGACTTTTCCGACCATCTCGCCAAGTTCTTTAGGGGCAATCCGGCTCTCGGAAAACAGCCGGGGAGTGTTACGGTACGTGGAGAAAACTAGGAAGACTTTATTCTTTTCACAGCCGGTATGGGTGCCGGCTGGGGGGCTCGCAAGAAGACGACGTTGATTTTCGTCGTGAGATGCCATATTAATTCATCTCATTCCCCCCCCCCCCCCTAATTTTTTTTTTGAAGACAGAGAGAGGATACGATATATTTTTGGCTTGTGATATCTTACTTTTGATATTTCCTTTCACAGGTGCGGAGGCCCAGATTTCTTTGGAGATGGCCATGCGTGGTCGCTATCATGGCTAGGTTTGCCTTCGAGAGATCGATCTCGTAGAGATTCTTCCTCCTCCTGTGTTTAAAAAATGTATGTGAATGCTTGCTAGGATGCTCTTGGTAGAAGGAGAAATGTGGGTTCCAATGGGCATGAGTCACCTCCTCATCCGACCGTTGTGGCCGTTTCCCCAGTTGGTTTGCCGGTTTCTGTTTCTTCTAGTTTTCCTGCGGGTGTACAAGCAGAAGGAAGTAGTGCACCTTCTTGGAAAAGGTGAAGCTTGCGTGTGGTGTCGTCGTCGGATGAAGTAAAAGAATCCGACGATGCGAGCCTTCGTCCTCATAAAGCTCGTAGGACTATGTCTGTGGCCAGGCTTCTTGGTGCTAGCGGGGGAATTCTTGGTGGTTAATTTTTTTATACCTGAGTAGAGAGTGGTGGTGGTGGTTCCTAGTTCTCCTGAGGCGTCACCCTCTCAATCCGCTGGTGCGCCCTTGGTTAATCCTGGTTTCGACTTTGTATTTTGGGGTGTGCCAACTTCCCCTGGGGGTTCTCTTTAACGTGAGAAGCCATCCCTGGTCAATGAAACATGGACTTTATCTCACTCTACGTCTTTTGAGGCCTATGCTCCGGGCTGTGCGATTACTAGGGATTCCTTGCAGTCATAAGGCACTACCGCCCAACAGTGGACTAGGTGTGTACATCCTCTAGCCACGATAAGTTTGGTTGTCGGTCAACCAAGTGATCGCATCGCTGATGACCTTTGTTACGTCACGGCCCAGACCTCTGCCCTTATGGTTGCTGTTGTCGACTGGGTTCGCCTAGCTGGAGCGAGTCAGGGGAAATTGAAAGTCTTGCAGGGTGCCTTAGTAGATATGAGAGAGGAGGTTCGTGATTTTGAGGTAGAGCGTTAAGTTCTTACTGAGCAGAACAACATTGTGGCATGCGAGAAATTCGCTTTAGAGGATCAAGTGGCTACTGTGTAGGACCGATCAGAGCAACTTGAGGACCAAGTGAGTTCTCTCACTCAAGAGAAGGATGTGCTAGTGAGTAGACTGGCAAGGTACCAACGTCAATTAGCTCGAGCCAATGTTGAAGGTGTCGTTGCTCAAGGTAATTTTCAATGGGTGTTGCAGAAGGGGGTGGTTCGTATGATTGACAGGGTCATCAAGAGCACTGAGTTCGCCAAAGGGGTCCACAATGTTCGTGAGGATTGTGAAGTCGTTGGGTTTTAAAAGGGGAAGCAACTGGTTGGTTGCTCCACATCTTCCGGTAAATCTGAAGTTTCATGTCCTATCCAAATGGCGAGCAGGGCTAAGGAGGTGAACGCAACCCTTACATCTTTTTCTGAGACGGATTTTGCTGGCCTCTTCCATTTAAGGGAGTTAGATTATGATGGCTTCCATTAATTTTGTGGTAAGTTGAGACCGGGAGGTTCTTCCTCGGACTCTCAGGGCTGACTTGTATATACCCCTTGTTGTTCATCTTTCTATGTACTGTGTGTATAGAGTAAAACATTGGTTGCTAATAGCCATGGACAGTGTTTTTTGTTTTGTATTTCGTATGGAAGTCTTCTCTTCCCTTCTTTTTTGTATGTAAGAACATGCTTTGAGCTGTAATTCGTTTTTGCACACTCCCTTGTTCTAGGGTTTGCGTTAAATCTAGTAATATGTGCTTCAGATGTTGCATAGTTGTACTACTGATCTATGTTCCTCTAACTTGTATGCTTAGTTAGGATTATAATATTAAGCCGTGAAATAATAGTCAATGATGTTGACTATGTTGTATGGTGTAGCTACCAATACGTTGGCTGAGATCATCGTCTCATGGCCTTTATTGCTCAATTTTTAGGGGGAAAGGTTATGAACCTTTTACGACTCCTTGTTTTGTGCCATTTACACAATCTCAGCTCTGAGATGTTATTTGGCATATTGTAGGTAAGGATTATGACTCTTTTAAGACCTACCGCTGCATTCTTGTATAGATTTTGCTCAAGTAGTGTAGGTGATCAACCATTGTCGCTACTTGGAAAATATGTACAGCCTCTATATCTTTTGTTTTTGCAATACAAAATTCTAGAAAGTTTTTTCAAAATGCAAATTATATTATTTCTAAAAAGAAAAAAAAGGAAAGACATGAGACAATAGACATTGAATGTCTAAGTGTCAGGGCATGTTCCTGGTCTTTGCTTTGGCACCTAAAGTATGGCTATCATGTGCGGAGTTGGGCCATACTTTTTGTTTGGAAGTGACGTCTTTCTACACCTAATGTAGGTTAGCCTTCATAGGTTGGGGCTTCCTCTTATTTTCACCAGTGGGTCCTGGCGTGGGGGAGTTATTTTTCGTTTCTCGTTCCCTAGGGATGTTCTCGTTTGTCTTTCTTTGCGACCCAATGTGTGTTGCAACCATGGGAAGCACCTCCCCTTGGCCGGGTGAGAGTGCCTTCTGTGCGTTGCTACGTACCCATTTGCCATGTGTGACCTGTTATCACTGTAAATGTTGCTTTGCTTACCTAGGACCCTTTCTGGTGCTCTCCTACAGGAAAAATTGCTCGTTAAAGGAAATGACATTCCAGCTCCGTTGTTGTTGTTTCATGCACTTGCAACCTCTGTTTTGAGGGGCGATGGTTTATCAGTGAAGATTTACTTTGGAGCCCGAATTGTTCTTTTGTTGGGCCTTACCTGGTATTAAATTATGGGCCAGGTAGGTGCCTTTGCCTGTGGTCCAGTTTTCTCGTTGTGCGCTTGTCACTCTGTCTTTTTAAGCATTCCTTGGATTGACATGAGTTCCCTTTTGTGGGAGAGATGTTGTGAGTGGATTGAACACATCTTGCCATTGTTTTCTAGTCTCGTCGGCTGGCACTTGTGCCACAATAGATTTCCTTTGTAGGTCTTCTCCTTTTTGGAGACCTTCGTTTTGCAGTGATTGGGTTTCATGCCTTTCTCCTCGTTGGGCGTCATGCTCAAGTGTCAACTTGGTCACTACTGCCTTGTTGACCCATCACTCGTGCTGAATTTGAGAACTCCATGGAGAGTAGATGGGATTGCTTGCAGCTGGAAAGGTACTGGTCGGCCAAAGAGAATGTTGTCCTCTGTCGTGCGGTCGACAACTAAGAATTCAAGCACCCTTGTTATTTCCTTTGCTTCGTCATGACTAGTAAATGTGAACGGGAGTCTGACTGTTCCTATTGGCCAAATGATGTGACTAGTGAAGCCAACTAGTGGGCACTGACACAGTGGTTGGAGGTACTCTTTCAATTTGATTGGCATTTGACAAAGCCAGTGTTCGTAGATTACGTTGACTCTGCTTCCATTGTCGATGTAAAGTTGTTCTACATGGTGTTGAATACCAAAGTCGGTGATGTCCAATGGATCATTGGGGTCCCAATGTTATGGCCTGGGGTCATTTACTAAGAATGCTATGTTGAGGATGTTTTGGCAGTATGGCCTTGCATTGCGATATCGGCTTTGGTGGTTGGTGCATGGGTGGGGCCCGGTGTTGGTAAGTATTTCCACCATTTTTCACGGTCTTTTCCTCCATCCTTTTGATTTTTGGGCTGCTGCTTATCTTCATCGAATTTTTCCCTGAGCTTTTTTGCTATATCAACTATGTTCCCCCCTAGTTGTTTCTTGTCAATCTCCCTCTTTAGAACTGTACACTCGTTTGTATCATGCATTTTGCTTTTATGATACTCACAGAACTTGCGTTTGTCTTTTTTCCTTGGTCGGGGCCTTGTTGATCGCATTAACATTGATATGACCGCTTTTGCTATCGTCCCTATAGAATGGTATGTACCTTTTAAACATATGCCCGGGGTGACAATTGTGTCACTGCTGGTCGCCATCTTGCTTTCCCTGCTGAGCCGAGATTGGCTGCGACACCGCCTCCTCGTTTTCTGCATATTCATTGGCTATAGCTTTAATATTGGCCCCCCTTTCGTTCTCCCCCTTCAGTTTGCCTCAAGTATTTTTGAACACAGAACTTTAGTTCATCTAGGGATCTGGGGACAGTTCACTGCATCTTCTTTGATAAGGGGCTCGTAAGTAAAACTTGGGCAAAAGCGCTTGTTACTAGGAACTCTTCATGTTCTGGAACATTGAAGGTTGCCAGTCTGAACCGATCATAATATTCACGGATCGATTCCCCCCCTCTCTCTGCTTGCATGCAAATACAGAATTAGTGTCCCCCTTACCTTTCCTCAACTGCATGAAATTGTTGAAGAAAATGTTTTTCAGTTTCTCAAAACTGGAGATATTGCCCAGCTTCAGAGATTTGAACCACTTGCATGCATTTCTAGTTAGGGTGGAAATAGGTGCAGGTGCAGCGATGATCCATCTTGAGGGATGTCATCGTCCATTCGTAATTATCAATGTGGTCATTTGGTTCTATAGTACCATCATATTTGGGCATGTGTAGGATCACTGCCATGTGCGGAATCTCATACTACAGCAGCTCGTGGCTAAAATTAGAGGTGACAATGCGCATCGAGTTGTCCACATATGAGTATGGCATCCCACTATAAGTCGTGTGTCGCCAGTGGTTTGCAGTAGGGACAATGCAGGGATTGGATCTTGGGTGTGTTGTACCAATGTGTTGAGGATCGGTCGTTGTTGTATATATATCGGCATGTGGGGAAAACCTATAATGGTGGCTTGTGGTTATACAATTGAGGAATATTGTGGTTGTGGCTGAATGGTGTGCGGGATCAACGTTTCGGTGCCGACGGTAAGTGGGAGAGGCTGTTGTTGTGAAAAAAGGATCTCTATTTGATGCTTTGTGACGATTTGTGGAGTTGTGGTTACGATTGCCACTTGTGAAATTGTGTTAGTTGATGGGCGTCAGAGGTTGGACGTGAGAGTTACTATTGTCTATACTTCAAAACTAGATGGCTTTTCTGAAATCGGAGTGTAATTGAATGTGTGCCCTTCCTGAACGGAGGTTTACCCTCCTTCCAATGACTGTAGCGGGCTTTATTCTAGTGCTCCAGAAACTAGTGTAATCTAGCCTGCCATTGTTACTTGTTGAATTTGTTGGGTGGATGTATCGTTCTAAAGATATACCTAGATGGCGCCAAATGTTGTGATATATCGGAGAATTGATGGGTCGAGATTGCCGATGATTCCTGCTGAAATGACTTCCCCTAATATCGCACTACAAAATAACATAGAGATCGTTAGTCGACGTCTGGGAGGGGATCTTGGGACAAAGCTCCAACGATCTAGTTAGTATGACATTTAAGAGAGATAGTAAGTGATTACAGAAAAGGGAGAATTATGTCCCCTTCTTCATAAGGAAGAACGATCCTTTTATACATGTCTTAGAGACGTGTCTCTCAACTGATTTTGTTGAAGATTCTCTCGTGAGGTGCGACATGGTGGACCCATATTGGAGGGTCCTCTGTCATGTCTTTTGCCTCCTCCTCACATTGGCTGGAAGGAGTTCTTACAAATGTTCATGAAGATCGTGGCTATCATCTGACGGCCGAGCGAGACTCTCTGAACGGTCCCATATTTTTCGGGGTATGATTTCCTATAGATGGGGTTAAGGCGCGGCTCTGCATCTTAAAAGCCTTATCAACACCCCTTGTGTTGGTGAAGACCCAGACTTGGCTTTAGATTGGGTTCTGACTACGCCAATCTCGGTGTCAGTTTGACTTCTATTTTCACGTTTCCTGGAAGGATACGTTAACATGAGTAAACTTTGTTTTACTTACAAAATTTGGATTCATATATTTTCTCATAAAGTGGGAATGACATGAAAATGTTGGTGTTTGAAGTATCTTGAGAGAAATATGGAAATGAATGTAAGGATAACTTCGGTATTAGAGTTATCATGTAAATTGAAAGGAATTATAGTGTTATCACATATTGGAGGTAGAAACGGAAATACATATACATACATATTTTTTATTTGGTGGTTATCTTGGTTTGGAGATACCACTAGTACATATATCATTTGGTGGTTATCTTGGTTTGGAGATACCACTAGTACATGTATGATTTGGTGGTTATCTTGGTTTGGAGATACCACTAGTATGGGTATGATTTGGATGTTATCTTGGTTTGGAGATACCACTAGTATGGGTATGATTTGGTGGTTATCTTTGTTTGGAAATGCCGCTTGTAAAGGTACGATATGGTGGATATCCTCGATTGGAAATGCCACAGGAATCTGACAGGTATGACAAAATGGTTATTCTGGATTAGGGAAACCAATGAAATGTGACAGCATGATAT